TCCCGCCCCTCCTCGCCGCGCCGGGGTCGGGAGCTGGCCCCAGCACGTGCCCTGCGGTGAGCGCCACGGAGGCCGAGGGGCCGTGGATGACCCTCCTGCACTTGGACCACATGAGAGCGAAGGCCAGATACGTGCGGACCGTGCGGCAGTGGGCCGCCGCCCTGGGGCTGACGGGGAGGCTTATGTTCATGGGCAGAGTCATCCTGCTCCTACTGCAAGGGCACAGGGACCGCGTCAAGGTGCCACCAGTTTTTTAAAAAAATATATATTTATAGTTTTAATGATTTCAGAGAGGAAGGGAGACAGAAACATCCATGATGAGAGAGCATCATGGATCGGCTGCCTCCTGCACGCCCCCCACTGAGGATGGAGCCCACAACCCGGGCCTGTGCCCCGACGGGGAATCCAACCGGGACCTCCTGGCTCATAGGTGGACGCTCAACCACTGAGCCATGCGGGCCGGGCCAGCTCACACTTTGGTTTGCTCCCGTAGCACCTGGAAGGAGGAGCCCCACCTCCTCACCTCGAGGTCCTGTGAGTGGGGGGAGCCTCAGGCGGTCAGCTTCCCGCCCTCCGAGTTTTCAGGTTCTCATCCTGGACTCGTCTGACCTGTTTCCCGGGGGACCCGGCAGGGAAGTGCCTGTCACAGCTCACCTCTCCGGGGAGCCGCAGGCCACCGTCACGCTTTGTGCGTCCAGGGGGGTTGGTCATTGCAATCGAACGCACAGCCTGTAATCCTAAAGATCTGGGCACTGACTACGAGCCTTTCCTACGAGGGCTGTCGCCACCAAGCTTGTCTGGCGTCTGGTTAACCAGCTCCGTGCCGGGGTAGCACGTAGCGACAACGAGTCATTCCAGTTTCATGTAGGCCCTGGACTGGGTCTGACCTAGGATCACCCCGCGAAGGCGGTTTATGGAGACGCCAAGCCTTCCGGGCAGACCCGGCGGCAGGGGGCATGCAGGGCACACTCCTGGCTCATGCTTCCCCAGAGGCTACGGCTTCGGAAGGTTCCCGGGGAGGCGGCTGCTTTTCGGATGTGAGACGGGACCATCAGGTCATTAACAAGTGTTTATTCATGTGGCTGGAGCTCGGCTGCTGCAGAGAAATTGCACTTTTAAAGGCGTTCCTTCTTTTTTTAAAATCCTCACCCGAGGGTATTTTTCCCATTGACTTTGAGAGAGAGCGAGACAGAGAGAGAGAGAGAGAGAGAGAGAGAGAGAGGTCAGTGTGAGAGAGCCACATGGATTGGTTGTCTCCTGCACCTGCCCTGAACGGCCAGGGATGAACCTGCAACCGAGGGACGTGCCCTTGACCTGAGCCACCCCGGCCGGGCAGTTCTTCCTTGTTTACCGCCTGTCCCTGAAATGCCGTCCAATGTCAACATGCCTGCTGGGTCGTCATGGGTCGCAGGTGAGGACTGAGAGTCGCAGGAGCTGGTCGCCCAGCTCGGAGCGGTTGCAGCTCGTCACAGACGCCGCCGCATGCAGAGGTGGGCGCTGTGCCCCGGGGATGCCATGCAGACGCTGCAGCAGCAGCAGCGCCCGTGGCTCCTGCCGTCAGCGTGTGGCCTG